TCTTTAAGCACAGGCGGCCCAGGCTCAGTCACAGGCACTGTAACAGGCTCTGTCACAGGCTCTGTCACAGGCTTTTTCACAGGGGGTTATTATAGAGTTTGTATAGTGGTTTAGTTGGACTTGCTTTTGAGCTCCGTGAAGACATTATATAAAGTTAGTTATATAAATCATATAAAAATTATAAAAAAAAATTATATAAAGGTTTTTTATAGATTTGGTTCTCCCTTCGCTCTTGTTTACACAATGAATAAAAGCGCTGATTACGGCTCAGTGTTGTAACTGTTTCATGCTGTTTCATGTTGTCACTCATATATATATATATATGAATATATATATATATTTATATTTTAATATATATAATATATATTATATATTTTTTATATATATATTATAATATATATTTTTTTTTTTTTTTTCAAGACTGGCTCACGTCAACCGGTCCGGTCTTACACATGTCAGTCTTCATTTTGGTTTTGTAATAGGCCACTTTCATAAATGGCTGCCGGATTAATATTCTTTTGTTTAAATTTAAATTAGCCTTTCTGGCCTCGTTCTCCAGTACAAAATTCAAAAGAATACATTATCTCAAGCGAGGCCAGAAAGGCTAATTTAAATTTAAACAAAAGAATATTAGTCCGGCAGCCATTTTTGAAAGTGGTCAATGGCTTGCGTTAGCGGGGACGGACGGGTAATTAGATAGATAAACTTTCTATCTGACAACGTGATCCAACGAGGTTTCAAGATGCAACGCAACTGGAGTGCGCACGCCTGCTTAATTCCTGTTTTTAGAAAGTTGTGTGAAATAACCTGCTTAATTCCTGTTTTTAGAAAGTTGTGTGAAATAATCAAAGAAATAAAGTCTTACCTTCATAAAGAGTAGTCTGTGCTGTTCTTGTCGCGATTTGAGGCCATTTTTCTGTGTTTCAGCTTAAATTCCTAGCACTACCAAATAAAAAGGAAGGTAGGAAAGCTCTATCTCACACACGCTCGCCAAAATCGCTCGAAAAACACACTTAAATACTTCCCCTTGAATCGAAACTTGGTAGCACGAAAGCCAAATAGTTTTCCTTTAAGTTCACTAAGACAAATCCCACAAAGGTTGGGTTGTCGAGCAACCAGCCCAGCGGAAATCTCAAATTGACCACCATTTCAACGCCATTAGAATGCGCGTCCGTCAAACCCTGTGCAGTCAAAAGTTCGTTAGGACGCGGTCGGCCTGGACACTAGCAAAATTAGGCCCAACGGGAATCCCCACGATATGAATGATTAATCAGTTTTTCCAGTGTCCAGGCCGACCGCGTCGTAACGAACTTTTGACTGCACATGATTTGACGGACGCGCATTCTAATGGCGTTGAAATGGCGGTCAATTTGAGATTTTCGCTGGGCTGGTTGCTCGACAACCCAACTTTTGGGAGATTTGTTTCGGCGAACTTAAAGGGCACCTATTTGGCTTTCGTGCTACCAAGTTTCGATTCAAGAGGAAGTATTTAAGTGCGTTTTTCGAGCGATTTTGGTGAGCGTGTGTGAGACAGAGCTTTCCTACCTTCCCCTTTTATTTGGTAGTGCTGGGACGTTAGGCTGAAACAATGCAAAACGGCCTCAAATCGCAACAAGAACAGCACAGACTACTCTTTATGAAGGAGGGAATTTATTTCTTTGCTTATTTCACACAACTTTATTTTTATGGAGCTCAAAAGCAAGTAAAACTAATCCACTATACAAACTCTTCAATAATCCACTGTTAAAGAACCTGTGACAGAGCCTGTGACAGCCTGTGAAAGAGCCTGGGCCGCCTGTGCTTTAAGATCTTAAGATTGGTTGTCTGTAAAAATCGAGCAGGGGTGTTGAAAATAAAAAAAAAAAATTGAATGTTTTTCAAACTTCACCAGAAAATAGGTATGAATGGCCTTAATTACGGAAAAATATCAAAAATGTCGAAAAAAATTATTTTGGGAGAACGGTGGCATTTTGTGTTTTGGGGGTCCATAACCGTGTTTTCCTGGAGAAATGATACACCTCAAGGTAACGGCGGAAAAAGAATATTTCGCCAGAAATTCAGAAACCACATAGAAATTCTAAAACAAGAGATGTTTTTCAAAGGTTCTGAAGTATTTTTTTCAAGATTCCTTGAAAAACGATTTTTTTTACGAATATTCTAATTCAGGTAAAATTTCACCCATCAAAACATATCTCAACTTTGGCGACTAAAATCGGCCATTGTTACCACAGGCAGCCCAAGCTCACTACCAGAAAAGCGGACGTGACTCTTACCGTGTTGCGTAACGTTTTATATTTATAAAGGTTTGTATGGGATGTTATCGGTTTGCCTTAAAAGAGAGAAAAAAATGTCTTGTTTTGAAATATAATGGGCTCACTTTATTGCCTT